TTTTTTAAAAGATACAGTGTTTATAATTTTACTGTTATAAATTAGAAACCCCAAATTATATATTGGAAAAATTTGGTAAAGATTAGTCACGATTCTAAAAAGTTTTATCAGTAGCGAATTTTTGCTGTCTATATAAAATTTTAATATACCACGTAGATCATATGAAAATGATCTACGGACACCCTACCCTTAAGTTCAAGCTCAAGTTTATAAACTAAGTTTAATTACTGCATTTTTCACTATTATTAAATTATATAAAGTTAAACTATTATAGAACGTCAAAATAAATAGTTATCCTATTTTTTTACTAATAAAAATTTATCTACAGACCCATTTGAAATCACTCTTAATTACAAAATCATATTATGAAAGTTTAAACTACAATCTAAACTAACATCAAGCAAAGATCGTAGAAATATATTGTTGATGATGATAATAAATAGCTTTATAATAAATGCTAAATGCTCATATTAAATATAAAAAAAAACTATTAATTATATCACAAATCTACAGTATAAGATTTTTAATTTATATTTTATTTTGATAGTTTTCATGTTTAAATATCAAAATATATATATCGAATCTGTATCTCTCGAGTCAGTCAAGCAGATAAAAAGATTGACTACAAATTACATATCAGCCCACCACAAGTGTCGTTAGTAATATAATTATTATTCTTGCTATAAAGCATTATTTAAACATTGCCTTTGCCTCTAACCAAAACCAAAACTTAAGCACACACTTACCAAAAACTTCTTTGATGCTTCCTTTTATTCACTGCTTCGTTTCTTGCGCATCTAATTTTCTTATATAATATTAACTTATCACATGGCTTTTTTATATAAGTATTTTATGATCGTTAACCAAATTTGCAGATTGTGTATTAATTATACATATGTACATATTATAGCAAACCTTCATCTATTAAATTTATTAATATTCATCATTTCATGATATATTTAATATTGTTCACTTCAATAAATATATTTGTGGAACACGATATTTGGATAGACAAAAAAAGCCTGCATATAATACATAATCATAAGGATTCTTCATAACTATTATGCACAAGTTATTTCAAATAAAGCTAATGTGTTGTAAATATACACTTCTTATATATATTTAACCTGGGTTGCGCAAATGTATAGTTGTATATTTATGATCTCAAAACCTATAAACATTGGAAAAATTAGAGGTTTCTAAATAGAAACACCAATTTACAACAGATAACATAACAGAATTTTTATTACCCAACTAGAAAAAGTTAATTAACACATTTCTAGCACAAAGATTCTTCTATATGAAGACAAATTCTCTAGTAATAAAAATAATATCAAAAAAAAAGAAACCTTGGTCATAAAAAAGCAAACCCGCAAAAACATACTAAAAAAAAAAATCTGGTCTTAGAAAGAGTACAAAAAAAAAAAAAAAGGGTCTTAGAAAAGTACTCAAAAAAAAAAAATAGTAGACACTATATAACCAAGTTACCAAGACTTATTAAAAAAACTGATTTCCACCATTATTCTAATTATTAATCATTCTGCTTCATATCATGTTTTAAGACAAAGGCTTGCATATACTTTCTCAACATCTATATGATTTTGTGTTTCACTTATAGTATATTTAGCTACCGAAAAAATCTGCTCACTAGATACACTGGTTGCTTGAACAACCAGGTAATTACGTGCTATGCGAGTAAGAGGTGCCTATCGTAAGTATGAAGATTTTGATTTCCAATAAGCAAGAACATTTGCATCTTCATCAGGTGTATTTAGATACTCTTCTAATACATCATTATGCAATATAAAACTACTGTGATGTATTTGCTTTATTTGTTGTCTAAAATAATTACATGCAGATATTGTTTGAGTCGAATTTTCAACTTGCGAGATAGTATTGTTTTCCTCTAATGGTATATAATTTTGATATGTTGACCGAATTTTGAGCAATACATTATACTTTTGAGTATTGCTTTCAAAGGTTGTGAATTTTGTTAACGGGTCAAGAAGAACTGCTTCATAAAAATATGATTGCAATTCATCCCAATAGCGATCAATTTTGTTACGAATTTTTTCGCAATGCTTCCTTTAACCGAGTCTAATTCAATTTGAGCATTGTCAAGAATTTTCATAATTACATAAAAAATTGTTCTTAGGTCTCCAAGTGTTAGATGGGTCATAGAAGAAAGAAGCTTTGTCGCTTCATATATAGATTCCAAAAGTTCAATAATTGACTATAGAATAGATTTATATAAATACGTATTTATTATAATTTAATTTAAAAAAAAAGACTTATGCTTATTTTTTCCTAGTCATTATCGGTTAGATATAAGGGTCTAAGCTCAGGTAACGAAATACCAAAATATCAGTCATCTCTCGAATTCGACAAAGTTTATTAAGCATAATATATGTTGAATTTCAGCTCGTGTCGACATCAAGGTCTGGCACGAGAAATTGTTTATAAATACTTTTTTAAGTTCTTCAAAACAAAGCTAAGAGTATCGAATATAACAGGTAAATTCACAAGCTTTTTTTACAGACTTATTAAGAACTGATATTCCTGCTTTAATAGCAAGATTCAATATATGAGATGCGTACCTTACTCTACAAAAATTAGTATTATTATAACGTGATTGGAGCAGGCTTGCTAAATGATGACCACATGCATCCATGTTGGTAGCATTATCAGCAGTAAGAGACAACAATTATGCACCCAGCCCAAAATATTCTATTTGTTCTATAATGTTCTCAGCGATAAAAACTCCAATAAGACGTTTATGTAAAGGAATTAAATCTAAGAAGATACGTTGTATACACTAATTATTGTTAATCCAATGTAATGTAATTAAAAGATAAGCTTGGTTAGTATAAGCTGACCAAGTATCGACAGTCATTGCAATTTTTCGATCAAAGTTTTGAAAAAAGTTATACAATTGTACTCGTTCTTGCTCATATATATGTAAAACATGATCTGAAATTGTCTGTTTCGTTGGTACTTTAAAGCGTGAATCAAGTGCCAAAATTAACTTGCGAAAATCATCATTTTCAACAACTTGAAAAGCTTGTTGATCACAAATGATTCAGTGAATAAAAAGTCCATTAAGCCGTTTAATCTTTTTCTCATTACAAGATCCATATGGTTCAATGTTTTCATCAATAAGGTTGACTGTTGAATTCTATTATAATTACTTTTATGCCGATTTTGAAAATGGCGTTTGATTATGCTAATTTCTATAGTTTTACTATAACAGGTGCAGCATAAATTACAAAAAGCAAATTTTTTGTCTTTCAACTAGCTAAAGTAGTTTCACAGAGGATGTGTAGTTCTTTGTCGCTTAGTAGACCATTGCTCTTCCTCAGAGTGCTGTTTTTGTTCTTCTTTAGAGTACTGTTCTTGCTCTTCAAAGTGCAGCTCTTGATTTTCAGCACTAGTTTCTGTTATGGGCTAATTATCTGAAAAAACAGACAAAGCATCATTCTTATAATCATTTGTAATATTTTCTTGAGAAGAGTTACTATCTATATTTTCAAGATTAACTTGGCAAGTATTTTCATCTAAGGACATTGTTAAAAGTTTTTTTGGTGAGTTTTTCACTTTTTTTTTTTTTTTTTTTCTATAAATGAGAAAAATCTTATAACAGGAAAGTTTTAGAATCTTTAGGAAAAATATATAATATATATATAAAAAAAGAATACAATGATCTTTAATGCCAAATAAAGAAGGCTAACATTCTTAGTGAAGACATAGGTTTAGAAAAAAAGTTTAAATAGCTTATTGAATCTTATATATACACGTTTCATTAAAGCTTAAAAATTCTTATTTCAAGAAAGAGGAAAAGTAATTTTATTTTTGAAATCAGAGTTTACCATAAAGGAAAAAAGAAGGATAATTTCATGCTTTTTTTTTTTTTGGCTTGCGATATGTATATTGTATGATGATATATGACGACTAGTATTTAAAATTCAAAAAAAAATCACTTTTTTTTTTTTTTTTTTGTAATTTAGTTCATTATTATTTGTTTTTTTTTTATAGTATTTCAGAATTTTTTTTTTCTTAATCGGTAATTAGAATGTGTAGAGAACGAATAAATAAATTTTTTATATAAACAGGTATCTTGCAATGTGATCATGAGGCTCTTTTCTTTTATATGGTCAATAGATATGGATCTTTGGTTGGAACTAGTAGTCTTTTATATGCAACAGGTCTTTTACAATGTGACTGTGAACCCTTTTATTTTATGCTTATTGCCTTGATAAATCATATGATATAATTCTGAATGAGTATATTACAGTAGCAAATATTTACTTATAAAAACAGGAAATCTAATACATAATTTTTATATAATCCATTACATCATCTATCGATATACATGAAAACAAGAAGCTCAACGAAAACAATCATCCTTATCCTATCTATTGTGTACTAACTTAGATAGAATGCTTAAGTATATATATATAATTACTATATACTGTACTTACGTACAGTATATAGATAGATCATAATTCATGGTAAAGATGTGACCTGGTTATGTAAAAACCGGTTTTTATAATCAGATCACATCTCTACACAGGTTATAATAGCGATAGTATTTTAAGCTAATCTAATAATCCTTTGTTTGTTTTCAATATTTGTCATTAGTATATTCATAATTTTCTATATCTGTGCGATCTTTCAGAATTCACTCCGTAAATAAAGTATTATTGTTCATTGTGTCATTTCTAAATTCGTAACCCTAAAGCAGTGATATACGTTTTGACTTTCCAAAGGCTTTTTTGGCACTGTCCAATATTCAAGTGTCCAAATGTCCACAAGTGTCCAGAGTATATCTAAGCTTTAATAATTAATAAATTTGTTTAACAAATATATAATTATATATTTTTTTAGGTGCTGAACATATTTTACTTAGAAAATAATATGGGTTATCTTAATAAAATTTTAAGTAATTTTAATTTATTTAATTGTTCAAAATTGTCCAAAGTGTCTAAACTTACTGTCTACAACTGTCCTGTGACAACACTGCTAAAGTAGCTTATTAATGCGTTGATTGATAATTGTGAATAAATCTTTATATTCATTAGATATTTAGTTTATTTTATATATATATATATATATATATGTCGATATATATTTAGATATACTGAATATAATAGATGATATTATACAAAAACCTGTACTACAAGATTCTAACTTTATATATATTATTTGGTATGTGATCTTTTCTACAAATAAGACTATATATTATGGTTGAACTACTAGTTCATAAACTGGGTTTCTAGACTATTTTTATAAATCAAGTTTATAAACTAGATTTATAAACCAAGTTTATGAACTAGGTTATAAAACTGGTTTGTGAAGCTACTAGTTAATTTTCTCTGAACGAACTACTAAAAAAACTAGTTTGAACTGGGTTTGAACCTGGTTCGCCTAAACCACTTAACATCCCTATCCTTAGACCAATTATCTTTAACTTCGTCAGCAGAAGCAGGCTTCTATTAAAGTTTTCTGTTTAAAGGCACCACCTTCTTGCCAGTTATCTTGTATAGGAACACTTTTAACTTGTATACTAAATATACAAAGGAGTCTAGGGAAACATAGAAATTCTTGACCTTTATAAAAACCATCATTGTATAGTTGTCTCTTCTACTTTTCTCTAACAAGTTTCTGTTTTCATTAGCTGTAAATTTGATACGAGTGATCGTCAGGAAGAGTTGATCAATTAATAGTTTAATATTTTCTTTTATAGTTATAAAATTAATATAATTATAAATTTATTATTATTAATTATTTATAACTATATACTGTAAATAATACTTATAATATATCTATTAAATTTAATGTAGCTATTATTCTTTATCTAGATATAATATATACTAAATTTGAAATAATTATTTTTTTTTCTTGCAATCTCTAACAATACTCATATAAATATCCACTTAGATAATAATACTGCAATTAAATTTAAAAGTAATATATTATACTAAATTTATACAAAACCAAAACTGAGATATCTTATTTATTAATAAAATTAAATCTATTAAGAACCCTATTTCATCTTTTACAAAATTAAATTACATAGGGTTTTGGGTCCCATAGCTTAGCAGTTAAGCTTCTAACCCCACAGACTAGGTTAACGGTTTGAGTCGGGCTGGAGGCAAATTTTAATAAAATTTGCTTCTGTAACCTATAGGGCCATAAAATCGAATATAAAGCCCTGTGGAAGTCTAAGTGCAATACGAAACCAGAATAAGGAGTTCCTGGAAGGAGACCAGGTTATAGAGTGTAGGCATTACATATGATAGTAGCATCACAGAAAGTTAGATTACTCAGAAGATCGCACAATTAGTCCTCTGATTGAAGTAACCTGGAGGCAGTACCAATATTCCTGCATCCAACTTGTAGGGTACTTGTTTGGAAGGGTGATACAACGATAGCCAAAACTGAAGTAGTGAGTGAAGCGATAATACATGACTATGGGCTGTAATAAAGAATCATACCTTAACTGAAATTGGAAGCATCTCTGTTCTTGCAGAACAATCTACTATGGAAGGTTACTTAACATAGAGGGCGTACCTATCCCTGTACAATTAATTATACCAAATCAGAGCTCTGGTCACACCTATATGGAAGTCTATGATGAAAAGAGTTAAAAATTTATCAGTATAAATGCTGCACCAACCAGGATTGAGATACCCCAAGTTAGAAGTTATACAATATGTACAACGAAGGCCAATAACTAGAAGTATATAGATTATTATATATGAAACAAGTTCCTAATGAACACCATAAAAGGAAGTATAAAGGGGATAGAAAAGTATATAAGCATATGAAAGACCAAAAAAGGGATAATAAAAGACCTTTGGATGGCAAACCGGTAGCAGCAGCAGGTCTTTGGCTTGAGATATGAGTTAATAGTATTTGGGCAAATGAGTGGGAGGATTAGGCTTTTATAGAAATAAAGGAATGCAAATCAGTGTAACTCAGTTAGTGCAAACTCAAGATAAGTCCTAATCTGTTAAGGTAGTACCAACTTTGTCATATGGTGAACCTAACTAGGCAGCAGAGACCTGGCTTAAGATACGTGTATGAAAGGCTCTTGGCAGATACACCAATCTGGGAGGTCTTTAGGGACCGATTATCTGAATGAACCAAATTGGGAGTCACTAAGGTTTGATTGTGGATCATGAGAGAATATAGTTGTGTAACTAGAATTAGTTAGTTGCGAAGCACAAAAATAGAGGTGGGATACAGAATAGATAAAGTAGTCTGAGCCCTGTATTCGAAAATTAGTTCAGTTAGTAGGTGCATGAGTGAGTAACAAAGTTGTATAGTAGTGTACAAACTTAAGAATTAATAAAAGATACAAGAGGCATAACCTCACCTTAACACCGAAAAAAAAAAATTTAAATTATATACTAACTCTATTTACAATTAAATAGATTTGCTTGCTAAATGAAGAATTAACAAATCTATACTTATAATTTTTACAACTTTATAAACCTGCTAATTTATTTTTTTATTTTTGATTTTGCTATATAAATAATAAGCTTTATTACAATTCTATTATAATAATATATTAGTAACTATTTATAGTAAATATATATATATAACCATTTTCATATAGCAAATCACCTCTTAATTTTCTATTAAAAAACTAATTTAAAGTACAACTAGTTATAAGAAGAGAAAAAGATATCCAAACTAGTGCCTTTTGTTTTTAATTTATTACTCAATAACTAATCTAGTTTTCTTCAAATTATAATTAAATAGCTACAAGAAAATTTTTTATTAAATAAATTTTATACCTTTATAGACAGGTTATACTGCTTCTAAACTATCCTGTTTTTATGAAGTTTAACTAGATACTTAAAACTGTACTATCTTTCTACTCAAGTTTTGTTAAATAGATATCGATCTTGTCGAAGTTCTTAGAATTTATTTAGTTACAAAGACTTATTTTAGATTTGTACTGCTCTTTGCTAGCTTCAAGTTTTTATAAATGCTTTATAGATTCACCCAATTTATCTAATTGGTATATACCAGGTTACAGAACTTAGTTATAACTTTGATGAGCATTGTATAATACCTTCAACAGAAAAATTGTAGCTTTTATATAGATAGAAATTTGAAGATTCACTAACAAAAAAATTTAAATTCTAGATATGTCACTTGAAAATAACAACTTGATTCCTTCACTAAGTCACTATATCACCAATTTATTTTAAATAAAAAGATCATCTAATTTTCTTTAAAGTTTAAAATTTTATTAAAAATATCTACACAATACAAAAACTATACTTATAGTTATTACTCAAAATATTCAAAGATATATCTAATATTTAATAAACACTATATTTTAATATTTTAAACTCTTTTGATTACAACTCTTTTAAATATTCTCTGAGAATTAAAATTTAACTAATAATCTTCTAACTATAAAAATCTTAATATTTAATATTCTTATTTATATTTATACTTAATTGCACTTGAATCTTGACTTCTTACAACATTCACTCAAACGTCTTGCTCTTCCTACTTCTATTATCAACATTATTATTAACTTGCTT